TCATGGTTGTTCCTATAGTGTCACCGGGATGACGTCAGGCGTTCACAACCATTGACGTCACGAAAGAATTTTCTGAACGAACGACAGAGGGCGCTCTCTCTCACACACACACAAATAAATACACGTCATTTTGAAAACTAACGTTGTTTATTACACAAAAGAAGAATATTAACGTTAAAAAACATGACATTTTAAAATGATTGAAATACATAGGGTATACATTTTTGACAAAAAAACTAGTAAGATCAGTTACATTAAATATATTTTTTTGTTTATTTGTTTTTTGTGTTTTGTTGTTTTTTGAAGTAATTAATCATAAATTGAAATAGTATACATTTTCAAACACTGTTAAGTATTCACACTGAGTAATATAAGAATGATATTATTAGAAGTAATATAAGAATGATATTCTTAGGAGTAATAATGAGAATTAAAAAAAATGACATTTTAAAAAAAAGGTTGAAATACATGTAGTATACATTTTCAAACGCAGTAAAGTATTCACACTGAGTAAATAAAAATGGTTATACATGACATTTAAAAAAATGATTGAAAATGATAGCAAAACTAGGTTGAAATAAATGGATTAGGGTTAGGGGTCAACAGAAAACTCTCCAAGTTTCCTACATTTCACTGTACTATAGAGAATAACTGCTAAAGTATGAACGACATGTTTATTTTATATATGCTGCTGTATGATGTCAAAGAGTTGGGAATCCATTTCGCGTGTTGATAACATGATTTTACAGGAGGGTAAACACAATTCAGGGGTCGATTTATAACGTTGGAATAGCACACGATTATACCGTCTAGAATATTTTCCGACCAGTTCTGGGTGAATGCGTTGAAAGGCATCGTAACAAGTGGCAATTTTATGCATATCAATATCGCGCAAAGCTTGGACGATGTATTGGCGAATTTGGCTAACCTGGGTGTTTTTATCACAGAATCCATAAGATAAACAAGCGTGTCATATTTGTGAAGAATGGTCTATTTCACAAGCTCGGCAATCGGATTGAATGATGTGACGCACCTGTGAACAGATAAATTCAGCGACGATTTATCTATCAACAGTCTCAAACGTATAGTGGGAAATCTGATTGCAATGTTACTAACGAATTGGCTGACTGCTTGTGTTTTGATAGTCGCGTCATTCAGAACGAATCTATATAACAACAATAGGTGGGAGGTATTCACGACAGCTTACAAATAAAATAACTATAATCATTGATCAATGTGTTATTTGTATGTAAAAAAACAAAAAACGTACCTGACAACACTGTTGATTTGGGGTAAAATTTCATTGACATTTTTGTACTGTTCCATTGTTAATGCTACCCCACGTTTCGTTGGGTACCCGTTTAA